AAAGTGCAGCGTTTGCAAAAACAGCGGTTTGGAGCAAACCGCTGCTAACCAAACATTTTTTTTGGCGATTTGACATGGTCAAACTGTCAAAAATGGCGGATCTGCCAATAATCAAACATGGCCAACAATTTGTTCCAAACCACTGAAAATACGAACATTGCAATTTACAATCTTTTCACTTGGCGTTTTTTAGAATGATTTCCCCAAAACACCTCTATATTTAAAAAAAAAAAAAAAAAAAAAAAAAAAAAAAAAAAGTTAAACTTATAGAGCCATTTCGACTCCTTGAATAACAAGAGCCGGTTTCGCTGGCTTACTGCTTGCCCATCAACGGATGGGCAAGTTTAATTTTTAAATTGGAGCATCAGGGCTCCCATGCCATTTTTTCCACCGATGTGGAAAAAGTGACAAAACTAAGGGGAGCTGAACGTTTGGCTCCCCATATGTTTTATTTTATTTTATTTTATTTTAATTTTATTTCTTTTATTAAATTATTATTATTATTATTATTATTATTATTATTATTATTATTTTAAAACAATTTTATCATTATTATTAAATATATGTATATCCTAGGTCATTTAACATGTTAATCTAAACAGCTAATTTTTTCAAATATCTTTTTACCAACCGTAGACAATGTAGTGAATATAACCAGTGGTTTGAAATGCTTGTTGAAACTATCCAGTGTCTAGAGCTGAGTATTGTAGGCTTGTTTTGATTGAGTTTGGACCTTGAACTCTTTGAAATCATCTATTCTTGACATTCCTATGATCTATTCTTGAATTTGTTGACCCGAATGCTTATTAATTCGTATAAGTATTCTTGTGAGCTTTTCGTTGGTTTGCATGCTAGTATAATTAGTCATTGATGCTAGTATGCCTCCGTTGTTATCATTATTCTTGGAACTTTGTTGAATTTGACTTGAATCCCTTTTCTTGGAATCTATCGAGTTGTCGAGTTGAGATCTATTCGTTGTTGCTATAATCTTGACACCCGTATTTGTTGAGCTATTCCTATGAACTTGATATTGATTATCATTCTCTTGAGAGTCTATTCTATTGTCTTAGCTTCGTATGACTCTCTTGTTGACTTGAAACCTTGAATCCTTGTTGAGATTGTTATGCTGGGACAGTGGACAGTGTGGGGACTTATTTGATACTGATTTGAGATTGGCGGGCCTCTGGATTTGTTTGCAATGGGTCATGTCGGTGTGGGAAGCCCTTGACAGGTCAGTGGTGTGGAAAGCCCGATCAACCATTGTGAACTGATCCGGTAGTGTGGAAAGCTCCGGGTTGCCATTTGTCTGCGGGCAGCGTGGTAGAAACGTATCCCGATTGTCAGAGACAGTAGCTAACCCGTTGGGCTTGGAATCCCAATATGGGGTGTATACACTTAAAGTTGCTAGATTTGTTTCCATTGGACTTTGATTGATTGGTCACTTGGTGACATTAATTGCTGTTTGGGAGCCCTCCACACTTGTTCCACTATATGATTGACTGCTGAGATTGTTGATATTGTTGATGTCCCTGTGTGGACTTGAGATCGGTATTGTTGATATGATTGTGATGAGAATTGAGCCATACTTGGATTATGTGATTGAATTGCCATCTTGTAAATCTCATCTCATTGTTGATACTCTTTTGGAATCAATCTTGTTGTTGGAATCCTTCTCCTTTGATGGTTATATCCTACCCTATCTCTGGGTTGATCGAGTTTGATTGTTGTATTGAGCCATTTCATTGATTATATCTCTTGAGTTGATTATTGAATGTTCTACTTTTCTTGAAATGGGTCTAATGCCCCTAGAATTGAGTATTGTTGATTGAGTATCAGTTTTTGGAATCTTTCAACTGAGTTCGTTGGTATGATATATATATATATATATATATATATATATATATATATATATATATATATATATATATACTCATACCGTTGCAAAATCTATTTTGAGTATAAAAGTATATCTATGTAGTTTTACATTTTGGAGTGGAGTTTACTTAGCATTTCTCGTTAATTCTTTTACAAAAGTTTTCAGGTTTGGATTAAAGGCCTTCTCGAGAGAGCGCTAACTAGAAGAGATAGTATAGTCCTATCTTTTATGTTGAGTAGACTGTTGATGAATATTGTAGTTGGCTATGTATAAAAGTGGTGTAATAACCTTATTGAGTTGTGAATTTAGTATTAGCCTGTGCATTTGGGTTGGGGTTAACCTAAATGTGGCATAGCATTCCCGTATGAATTGACTTAGCTTCCGCATCTTATTTATATCAGTTAGACTTTATTATCATTCTTCACCCAGTTATTGCCTTAAGTTGTGTTTAGAAATCGGAGGTGTTACACACATAACATCCGAGCACAATGCATTACAAAATTCCTAAAACCTTGTTAATTGTTATAACTCAATTAACAACTTAAATAAAAGATGTGACATGCATGTTAAAAAAATTCGAATATGACATTTTCAAGTAAAAGTTATAAGCTTTATAAATGTGATTTTGATATAATTCAAATTAGTCTCTCACAACAGATAAAATTATATTAACATATTTTTTAAAAAAATAATAATAAAAGGCTAGGCTATAACTCTATAAGGTCATTGCCTTCACTGGCAAATTACGGCCCACACAGTTAAGTAGACCACAGTCCAAAATGATATCGTAAATTTTATGAGTTAGAATAATGTACTTTATGAATTAGAATAATGTACTTTATGTGTTAGAATAATGTACATTATGTGTTAGAATAATAAAATTTTTGGGGTAAGATGATGTATTTTATGAGTTAGAATAATGTACTTTATGAGTTAGAATAATGTAGATTATGCTTTAGAATAAAGTACATTATGAGTTAAAAAAAATTATGTTGCAACGAGTTGCGTAAAAAAAAATGCGAAACGACGTCGTTTTTGGACAGTTGTCCACACAGTTGTATAGATCATGGTCCACGCAATACAATCGTTATATCGTGGACTGGGGTCCACAGTGCACCAGTACACATAATTTGACTTTATAATGTACAGAATTTATGTTCATAATGTACAGAATTTATGTTCATAATACAGATACACATAAACATGATATAATGAACATTTTATGCATTATGAACATGAATTCTGTATATTATGAATATGAATTCTGTGTATTATGTTAAGTGTTTATGTGTCTCCATTATATTGTGTTTTTGTGTATATGTATTATAAACATAAATTTTGTACATTATGAATATAAATTTTGTATATTATGAAGTGAAATTCTGTATATTGGACCAGGGTCCACGATATAAATTATCCACGCAATAACTGTTGGCCTTTAGTCATCCATTCATGACAAAAGAAAGTCCCCTTAGGGTTGGGGTTCAACCTTTTGGAAGAATGACAAAAGAAAGTAAAGAAAATCTAAATGCAATGTGTTTGGGCCTGAGCTAAGATTAATAGATTATAGAGAAAAGGGTCAAATAGTCTTAAACTTTATCCTAAAAGTCAATTAGGTACTTAAATTTTAAAAAAGTGCAATTAAATCTTTAAACATGTCAAATTGGGTCAATGACGCTCAAAATTGGTAAATAACTTGTTATTACAGGTCATTTCAATCCGGCGATGGATTCCGGCGACCGACGACAAATAACAGGTCATTTATCGATTTTTAGGCTTCATTGACACAATTTAACATATTTAAAGATTTAATTGTACCTTTTTAAAATTTAAAGGCCTAATTAACTTCTCAAATAAAGTTTATGAGCATATTTGATCATTTTCTCTAGATTATATTACACCTTAGGCATTTTCAAAAAAAAAATATTACACCTTAGGCCCGTAGGGTTGGATATACTTATTTATTCTCTATCAAGATTGCATTAATTAAAAGTTTACTAGTTGACTTTATGGGCCAAAAGTGCACATGGAAAGTGTTAGTAAAGTGGGGGCACAAAAACACTGTTCTCTACATGATAATTCAATCATATTCTGTAATCCTAAATTAAAGCTGCCTATATACATTATGATAAAAGAGCTTTATAATGGTTTTCTTTTTAGTAAGAACAAACTAGACGAGTGTGATTAGGTTAAATTCAAATTAGTTTTACAATTTTAAGGATATTGAATTTCACATGCAATTCAAAAAACAGAAACAAAAACAAAAATCAGCTGTAACATTAGGGGCATTCAAGGCAATAGAAAATTTGATAAATTAGTCTAGCTTTGCGAGATACAGATATTGATAGTGTAAAAAAAAAATGTGGCTGTAACATTAGACTTCACATCATATTACACCTAATAACACCAAAGCTGTCGAAAGCTCCTTAATTCCACCAATAAAATTATTAAAATTCCCCAACCAACACCAAATGTTGTCAACTTCTGCAATTTCTTGTTTTCTTTTATCTTTATTATTTGTTATTTTGGCTAAAAATTTACCCAAACAACTGTGGTGTTAACCATAAGGAAAGAAATAAAAATAAAAGGAAAATTGTATTTTTAATCTTTCAGTTAATATATGTTGTATTTAGTATGAATTATATATGTGATCATCTTTAACCCAAAGTTATGTACACAATATTTTACTTTCAAAAGGATTAAATTTGCCACTTTATTATTAAGTAACATATTGGTGATAAAAATAGTTAGCCATGAAACAAAAATCGTCACTTCATATATAACTTAAGAGTTATCATGTATATGAGTTATCATGTATATGACTCAGGGATTAAGTCTTACCACGGGTATACCAAGGACTAAAAATGTAATTTTTTGAAATAATAAAATAAAATTTACAACAACAAGGATAAGAGAATTATATGTGTAATCATGTTTTAATCGCTAAGTTATGTACACAATATTTTAGTCCTTGAAAGATCAAATTTGCCACTTTATTATTAACACATTGGTGACAAAAATAGTCATCCATGAAATAAAATCGTCACTTCACACCAACTTATTAGGAGTTAAATGTTCATATATATAACTTAGGGATTAAGTCTTACTTCCGGTATAATAACCGTGGACTAAAAATGTAATTTTTCAAAATAAAAAATAAAATTTACAACAACAAGGCTAAGAAATTGCATAATTTGGTTTGGACCCCTAAACTTTTTTTAAAAAAAAAATTCCAGAATCACTTGCATAATTGTCGCCGGAATCCCAACTTCTCATTCTTCAGATCATACTCCACGTAGAAATTCTGCATCTGGAAATTCCCCAGAATGATCGCCGGTCCGGCGGGCAACTCCGGGCCGAAGCTGTCCGTCACCAGAGTCAAGCAGACGCTATCAGTTCCGACAATGGTGAAGTAGTTTGCCAGTGGCAGCGCCATTTCTGCGCCTCCCTTGAAATGGAACTTCATATCCGGCATGTCTATTGTGCGGTGGCCGGAGATATTGAAGCACGGGCGCAGCCCGGTAATGCTCTCCAGTTTTCCGGCTCGCGGGTAGGTTTTGACTTGAGTGAGGAACGCGTTCTGGACGAGCTGGAATACGTCGTGGGTCAAGAACGTGAAGGTCGTGCCGGAATCCACGATTGCGCCGCCGTTGCCCTGTGAATCCGGCGAGAGGTACTTGTATGGGATCTTCAGTTTTTGGGCTCCGACAGTGATTTTCCTCAGGCTAACGTAGTAATACACCGACAATGCGTCTCTGCCGGCCACCTGAGGGTTTTTCAGCAACGGCGTACGGCTCAGGTTCCCGATTTTATCGCCGGAATCTTCGCCGGTCTCCATAACTAACGGGCTGCTTTTGCCGCTGTCGTCGAATCTGTGCGAGACAAGACAGTAGGAAAACTTGTTGAGGCCTAATTGCGCCGGCAGGGAAGCGCGGCCGCGGCCGAACCCGGCGATTCCGGCGGGTTGTTGGGCGGAAAACACGGAACAACCCACGAGAAAACCCGGGATTTTCTTCTGGGGAAAATCCAGGGTATCCACCAGCGCAAGGCCGCCGGTGGAGCCAGAGCCGTAGAGAATCAGGTACGGCGGGCAGATCTGGTTGCAGGTCTTCCCGGCGAACGGCGGCCGGCAATCTTGACAGCGATTCTCGACACCCCCGCCGTGAATCCAACCGCATTTGGGGTTGGCGCAGCCGAGAAGCTTAGCAGAGGAAGATGATTTGGGCATGAAAGGAGTAATCGCAGCGGTGCCTTTGAAACTGCACTCTCTGCATTGGTACCTTTTTGTGCAAGGGAACCAAACAAAGCTGCTTCCGGTGTCCATGATAAACGGCAAGGTCTGCGGCGGAGTTCCGAAGCTGAGAGAAATGGAGTATCCGCCATAGCTTTTAGGGTACAATGGAGTGGTGGAAGAAGCAGAAGATTTCTGGGAATTCTTGATGTGTTTGGCTCTGGCCAAGGACTGGAAGACAAAATGGGTGAACTTTTGGGTTGGATCTTGGTTAGGGTTTGTGTTGAAGAAGGAGAGAGGGAGAGTAATGGTGGTGGTGGGGGATGAGGTTATGAGGGGAAAGAAAAATGAGAGAACATAGAGAAAGGAGAGGAAGAAAGAAGCCATTGTTTTTGGGGTCTGTGCTTTGATGATAAGGCCATCTTTAATAAACTACATAGTACATATACTACCAATCTCCCATTGCCAAGTGAAATAATTCTACCGTTATCCCATCTAACGTTAAAATTATGCAATTTTAATCATATACTCCGTAATTAAAAAGGTTGGGGAGTTCACACTCACGTGTATGTATACACGCCTTTAAAAGAGTTGATTTCTGGCCTTTTGGGTAATAGATTGTGGACAATGACAGAACATCAAGCACTTACGGTCGTAGTGCGAGAGTTACACTCAATATAGTGGGCATCTTGTGGCCCGTTGGACCGTCACTATGATTTACCTCTCTACTATCCTGTCGAGTTGGGAGCGAAGGAATTTTGCCTTTGTATACAAGCAATGCATTTAAAAGAGTTGTCTTTGAATAGGCCAGATAGAAATTATGTTGGTAAAATGTGTGTTCAATTCGGCTTAGCTTATCACCTATGAACAATATTATTTAGTCCCCAAATTAAATGTGGAATGACTATAAGTCAGCATGCCAATTTACTCGGGGGGTGAAACATGAAGGATTTGGGACTATTGTCCATGGTGTCTCCTCCTTTAATTGGTCGTTGTTCCAAATAGTGCAAAACAACAAATGTGTGTTATCTCGAGTGTCGTCCAAAGACGCCACCACCATTTCAATCTTAAAGACTTAGCGCAAGAGGTAAATCACAAGTTATATATTAGCAAATCGAGTTTATATCTATGATTAAGTAAAGTGGAATGGAGAAAAGGAAGAAATTCAAGAAAGGGGAATGGCCGAAATGGAGAAAAGGAAGAAATTCAAGAAAGGGGAATCATTTGAGAAGGGGGATTCTAGCACCCTTTTCTTTTCGTTTAATTTGTTTGAACTCTTGATAGAAATTGTATTGCTCAATTTTGTGTATGGAATTTAAAAATCTTAATTCAAAAGAACCAAATTATTTTTATTAATAATTTAAGAATTATTTAACGTTAGTGACTTAGTGGTTTTTGGCACTGGTTTAGGCTAAAGACATCACAACTGTCACCCTTGCATGTGATGAGTGCTTTCTTGACATTCAATAATTCCCACAAACAAATTTAAAAGTGCATGTGTAGATGATAAGGTTGGTAACAACGTTGCCCTTGTTGCCAAAACTCATTCAATTCAATCATAACCGTTGCACAGTAAGTATAAATTAGTCAGCATTAGACACTAAACCACCTTATTGATAATTTAATATTCAATTCAGTAGTTGAAATTGTAACTATATTAGTACTTGAGTTAAAAAAAAAAAAAAAAAAAAAAAAAAAAAAAAAAGGAAAAAGGTGAAGATATTTTGATTATATCAAGTGATTATAATAAAGAGAAGTAAAAAATGTAATTTCTTTTAAAATTGTATCATTATTTTTTTAGACATGGCGACACTGAAAATAATGACATTGAAATCTTTCCCTACATACATATAAGTGTGAAGGTTTATGAAGAAAGACTAAAGATATTTCAGGCATATCAAGTGGTTGAAAAGAGAATGAAAAAATACACAATTTCTTTTAAATTATCTCACTATTTCTATTTTAGACATGACAACACGAAAGATAGAGACACCAAAATTTTTCTCAATATGCACACAAGCGTGTGAAGGTTTAAGCAAGAAAGATCCTATATAAAGCTTATGTTGGATGAAATTATAAAGCTAACTCCATTCCAGCAATTCCCCATCTTTCTAGATAATATGGCTTTTTAAAAGCTATTTTATTTTAATTATTTTTGCAATGTTGGATAGAAAGCTTGCAATTGCCTCAAGCTTTCTAATACTGACAAAGGCTGCGACAACCTTTGTGTATCCTTTTTTTTTGTTTTAATTTATTAGTTATTTATTATATTATTTTATTATTATATTTATAATATAATAATATAATATGAAAGTGGGACCACTTTAGAAAGTGAGAGAATATTGTACGGATGTAGTGTGAATAGCAAATGATTTGTAAATTGGGTGATATGGAAGTGAGACCCATTTTAAAAAGTGGGAGAGATTTGCAGAGATAAGGTTAGTCTAACCACTATATGCATGTTGTTACTATAGTTGTTCATTAAAAAAAAGGCTAAGACGTCGACTAATAACGAAAAGTCAAATTCTTATTATTAACTCAACTAAACTCGACTAGACTAACCCGAAGGCACAACCATTCATCTCCGAAGAAGAAATAGGTAACTACATAGTACATATATTACTACCATTGCCAAGTGAAATTCTACCATTATGGTGTTATCCCATCTAACGTTAAATTATACAATTTTAATCATATAACTAAAAAGTTTGGGAGTTTAGATTCATGTATATACAACATACAATGTCATTAAAAGAGTTGTCCTTTAATTAGGTCGGACAAAAACTCGGTCACTTTTGAATACTACTCTTATAGTCCCTGTCAAATGTGGAATTACTACAACTTGCTGATCACTCGGGATGTGAAAGATCAAAGGTTTGGGACCGTTATTCAAGCTGCCACCACCTAAGGTTGTTGTTTCAACTAGCACAAAACAACAACAGTGTGTTGTCTTGAGTGTTGTCCTAATTAAGACAATTCCACTGTTCCATCCTAAAGACTTACCACCCGTTGATTGGATGGAAATAGTTTTTCAAAGAAATAAGTCAATTTTTTAAAATTTGAGAAAAATATTATTTTCTCTTATTCGGTTCATGAAATTTATTTTTCAATGGAAATAGAATTCCTCACATATAACAAAAATGTTTTCTTTGCCCACATGGTAAGACAATTTTGTCATCATCATAAAACTTTCTTAATTACCCTTATTATCGTTATTGTTATTGTTGTTATTTTTGTTCGTTATTGTTGTTGCTCTGTAAGGACATATTGATATTTATAATCATTATGGTTTATAATTTCAAATCCAACCAAACAATAAAATCAATCTTCTTGATAATTTTTTTAATGAAATTTTAATCACATTCCTGCTCAAATATTTTCCATGAATTAAATGGCCATCAATTAGTTAGTTAAAAAAATATAAACCGGGTCTACTAGCAAAGCTAGTTTATATCTACAACGAAGTAAAGTAGAATAGACCAGGACTATGTGGTCTAATGGTATCCGGGTTGGACTTCCATTTGGAAGGTTGTGAGTTCAAGTCTCAGTGGAGGCGTTATTGGTTCTTTGTGTTTCAGTAGGTTGAGAAAGTATATGAACAGAATACTACAATGTAATAGGGCCAGTAATATTCAAAAAAAAAAAAAAAGTAAAGTAGAATAGTGATAAGGAAGAAACTCACGAAAGGGGGAATCATTTGAGAGGTGGGATTCTAGCACTTTTTTCTTTTGGAATTCTTGATAAATTATTGTATTGCTCAATTCACTGTACGGGATTTAAAAATCTTATTTATAAAGAACCGAATTGTTATTCATTAATAATTTTAAGAATTATTTAACGTTAGTGGTTTTTGGCACTGGTTGAGGCTAAGACATCACAACTGTCACCCTTGCATGTGAGTGCTTTCTTGACATATGAGGCGGCCATTCAATTCCAACAAACAAAAGTGCATGTGTAGATGATGATAAGGTTAGTGTGAGGATCAGTTGATTCTTGAGTAGGGTCGGAGATTATGAGTAAAGATATTGAATCGAGTTTTGATAATTGTAGTGTGAGAGTTTCACATAATATTATGGGCTCTTTGTAAATACTAAACACGAGTTTTTTTACTTATTGGACTGCTAAATTATTATGAATTATGATTTGTTTATTCACTATCTTGTTGACGCCGAATACAAGAATTTTAGGACCTGAGAATTTTGTCTTCTGTGAGGAAGGTTTGTAACAAAGTTGCCTAAAGCCATTCAATTCAACCATAATTTGAGTTTTAAGTAATAACCGGGCAATTTATATCGTGCACCAGGGTGCGCATTGCATTGTGCGCCCTGTGTCAACTGCTAATTTCTTTTTAAAAAAATCATATTTTGAAAATGTACATAATTGCATACTAGAATGTACATAATTGTATACTAGAATGTACATAATGTTATAACAAAATACACATACTCTTTTTTGAAAAGATAATACACATAATCTAACATAATACATAATATACATAAACTTTTAACATAATACACATACACTCTTAATATAATACGCATAAATTCCCTGTTTCGGATGTACATAACTGTATAAAAAAAGTACATAATTGTATACTAGAATGTACATAATCGCGTTAACTTCCTACACAACTTAACAAACGACATTATTTTGGGAGGTGCGGGACGCACAATGTTATGTGTGCCGTGGTGCAGGTATAACGATTGGTAATAACCGTTGCACAGTATAAATTAGTCAGCATTGGGCACTAAACCAGTAAACCACCTTCTTAATATTCAACTCAGTAGTTGAAATATAATTATATATCAGTACTAATGTACTCGGTGGTTCCTATTAAAAAATAGAAAGAGTACATATATTTTAGTCGTATCAAGTAATTAAAAAAAGAGTTAAGTGAAAATTTGTGATTTTTTTTAAAGTTGTCTCACTGTTTCCTTTTTAGACATGGTAGCACAAGGGATATTGATACCGAAATCTGTCCCTATATACACAAGCAAGCATGTGAAGGTTTAGGCAACTCGATCCAAGTTAATCCAGTTGTTCACTTGGTAACCAAAAGATTATGGTTCTATTTGGTAAAAAATTGATTTATAGGCCAATTTTGACTTATTTGATCACTATTAATTGTTTGAGTGTTTGGTTAATTGACTTTTTGTAACTCCAAAATGATAAAATTTAAAAAGCTACTCCAAGCAATTTTTTCAATTAGCTTTTTCAGAAAAGAAATTATACCAAACAACTAACAACTAATTTACCAGACACTTTTCTAGAACAGCTAATGTTATCAACTAGTTATACTCTCTAATTAACACAATCAGCTAACAGCTATCAGCCATTAACCAAACAGGGCCTATGAGTTTGATTATTCCCCGCAAGAGTAACCTATTAGCTTTCTTGGTTTAAGCCAGTCAATCCTTTTTA